AACAGTGGGCATAGTTAGGCTACATATAAAATATTCAAGGAAGTTCTTTGCAATTAAAAAAAAATACATTACCTGAAATGACTAGAGATGGTTTAGATACATTTTCCAACTTTGCTATTACAGTTTTAATACTGGCTTGTGCAAAATTTCCAAAATAAATGCATCTTTTATTAACCACATTTGCGTAAAATACATGAAATAACAAATTATTGGATCACTGATTATTCTGAACGACGTAATTCCACATGGCAAGATCAGCAAAATCAAGCACCCTATTATAAGGGAAGGCTTAGCTTATTAAAAGTATTTCAGCACAGCGTACAAATCTCCAAAGATCTAATAGTATATGTTTAAATAATGTAATATAAAATATGATTGAAACATAAAAATATCAATAATATACTTGTAGAACAATCATCAAGTGGCAGTTATTAGATGTTACACATCACATGTTATATACAGGTATACACATACACACACGCACATACACACACACACGCACACACACACACAAAGACACAAACATACACTCACTCTCTTGTCTCTACCATGAATCTAATGAGCCACGATTAAGAATTGCTTTTTGCTTTGAAGTAGTAATCGATGCTCAAAATATATAATTTTTATGCAGTTGTTTTCATAGTAACACAAACAAACAATATAACCACATGGCAGATGCATCAGATTATGAACGTTGGTTAATATTGTTTTTCTACAGGGAAAGTTGTGTTAACAGTATAGTCACCTGGCTCTCAAACGTCTACAAATGGTAAATCTAAAGTTCAGTACTACAGGGACTGTTGCTTTTGTTGGTATCAGCAAAACCTATTGTTTCTTTGCCATGTTTATTCTGGCCCTTTGGAAAATCAGCACAAGGGAAGGGAGAATCTAGGTTGATATTCTAACATTTCTGTATAAACTATTTGTTCACATGCTACTTTTGCTTCTCCAGCACGACTGTCAGATGGCAACTAGTTGCTTCCATCTAAAAAAGCATAACCTAAGATAGACCTAGGTGTACAGAGAAGTCCCCCCGCTTGCCTCCGTTCCTGTGTGAATGTTGCTGCATAGAATCTGCTGCATTCAATGGCGATCCACAGCTATGAAATGTGTTAATGTCTTCCCTGTGGTTGTGTTACATTGAGTCATATTCAAGTGTCACCAAGAGAGCGTGTGACGGTATGTGTGAACATTGTGTACTTACTAACTTAATTTTTTCTTTTTGCTATAGAAGTTGTATATGGGATTTGTGCTTTGTTAGACTTCCTACAGTCTTCTCAAAATACAATGCTTTAAATACAATACAATACTTTCCTCTCTCTTTTTTTGAAAAGAAAAAAACCTCACAACAGATAAAGAACTGGAGCCCTCTAATGAATTTAGTGCAGGATATACATTTTTGCCCCGTCTTTTTGCACACCACATTTGCTCCCCACCGCTTGCCCTCACATGGATTGTGCTGGTTCTCCCCATCCTGTTAAAAGATGACAGAGGAGATGTGGTCCACTTTATTTTCATCACAGCAACCTCTGTTCTACAGGGTGGATGAGGTTTGCTTATAATCCCTCAGGACAACAGAGGCATAGATTTCGTTGGGAGGCGTGCAAAGCACTGATTCCGAGACAGGGGAACTGGGCACAGAACTGCCTGAAGCGACTGAATCTCGGAAAGGAGACGGGGGCGTCAGCGCTGGTGATTCCTCTAAAGTCAGTTTGCTGGTTGCCCGCTCCTCTTCCTCCTCTTCCTCCTCTAGGTTCCCTGGCCTTTCATATACATACTCTTGGATGAGTTTTTCCTTTTCTTCTTCTTCCTCCCCCACCTCCTCCTCTTCCTCAGCTGGGGGTGAAACTGGTTCTTTGCTGAAAGTGCCCATTGTTAGTGGCAGCACCTGCTGCTGCATCAATGGTGGATGATAAATCGGCCTCACTCCATTCCCTGTGCCAGGTGTGGGAAGCGTAGAATTGAAGTCTGGAATGCTTGTAGCAAATTTGTTGACCACACCATGCAGTTGCTCCATAATGGACCTCTGTGTTGGTGGTGGCAGTGGTAGTGGTGAAGTTTTGGGACTCGGTTCGGACAAGAACAGCTGGGTTTCCTCTGCTGTTGCCTGCAAGGGAGGCGACTCCATCTCTTGCCTCTGCACCACTGTGGGAGGGCTGTTCAGTTGGCTGAAGTGCCCGGCCTCACGCTCTTGTTCCTCTACCACGTTGTACAAAGTCTTACTGCTGATGTCTGAAAGAGTCAGGCTCTTGCTTTGGCCTGGATAGCTTTTAGTTAGGGGCTTGATCACTGCGGTCTGGTTGCATCCTGGCTCCTTCCTTGTCACATGCACTGAGAGTCTGTGCCACACATGTTGTCCCTTGGGAGTTTGTTTTCCACCTGGTTCAGACCATGACACAGACTTGCCATTAGAACTATGAATAAAACAAAGAAGGGTTTATTTACATTTATACTGGGCACACAGAGGCAGCAATTAACATCAAAAAGTTCTGTTCTAGAGAATTCCTTAGACCTGTTCAGCAATATTGGCTCCTCTCAGAAACAGCTACAATGGAGGAATAGCAAACATTCTTAAATGTAAATATTACTGTTGTTTGTAAATCATGCCAAGTTTTTCCCTGTCAGTTTCCGCTGCTGTAGGTGGAGCAGTGGGACGCCAATATATATATATATTTAAAATGAAGTGAGATAAAATAAAAATTCATGTCAGTAATCCAAACCAGATGCTTGGCCATACTTCCTGCTCTTTCCCTGTATCTTAGTAAACCACATGACAGTATGTCATATGCTCTGAGTTCCCTACTTCTCTCCACCAGTGAAGCAGAGGAGTGGCAGAGAAATTCAGTGGGAAACCACCACCACCCACTGCCTTTACTACATATTACTGGGAATAAACAATATAAGAGATGTTGGTTTTGATTACAGCAATATGTCTCCCTAGCTAGTATTACAACTCCAGCAAAAACATTTGATAATAGGAGTGGGTTGGGAACTGCCAGCATAAGGAATCTTTGGGATGTGCAGAATTATGTTTGCATTTCAATGATTTCTCACAGGATCAGATAATTCCCAATAAATGTGAATGTTTTGACAGATACAATCCAAAATCATGAGCTGTCACATCCTAGATTATAAATAAAAGTCATCACTATTCATTTTCTATCATTAAAATGTTAAAGGTATATTTCCAAGTACTATCCACCTCAGATTTCCAGATATTGCTCAAGATTTTATTCTGCTTTCCCTCTCCAACACACCAGACAATTCAATCATAAAAGGTGTTGGTGTAAAACTGTGCTAGTTTGACCTGGACTGGATGCTGGGAATATTTAATTTAAAATAATGGAAAGCTTCCTATCACCACTTGTGCAGATTCTAAGGCTCCTCAGGGCTCTCTTTTGCCCTGGGGAAACCTGTAGGAGCCTCATGATGCAGGGACAGGATTTTAATAGTAAACTCTCATTCCTAGATCACTGCCAGGAGTATTGAGACTGATGATCCAGCAGAGATGTTTTGCTGGTAATGCTCCTATCCCTCATCTAAATGCCCCCCCCCAAAGCTTCTCTAGGTCAAAAAGGAACACTTGAAACCTGAAAGTGGTGGGTAGGTAGAAAGCTTTCCATGTGTTTAAATAAAATATTTCCAGCACCTGATCTAGGTTATGCCTGCATACTCTGTTTCCCCCAAAATAAGCCCTAGCCTGAAAATAAGCCCTAGTATGAATTTTCAGGATGCTTCTAATATAAGCCCTACCTAAAAAAATAAGCCCCAGTTCAGTGAAACCCCACCCTCCACCATTGTGCAGCAGCCAGAAGAAGATGGCATGACTGTATTTGAATAAATGTAGAATGTTGTACATAAATTTTTTTAAAACATCCCTTGAAAATAAGCACTAATGCATTTTTGGAGCAAAAATTAATATAAGACCCTGTCTTATTTTCAGGGAAACATGGTATATTTACACAACAGGACATTGCCCATAAATCCCAACATATACCATCCTTTCTTTGTTCCATGTTAAAATTTAAATGGCTGAAAAAAGGAGGTATACAATTTGCTTATGTATATAACTGATGGATATCAACACAATAATTTAAATCAAGTCACATACTAAATCCCCCATCCATTGCGATTTATTTATTAATGCAATAATTTGGGAAACCTCCAGTGGAAGAGATGCCAATGTTGCTCCAGTTGAGTTGCTCCATAACCTAAATAACCTTCTTTGAGGAACCTCTCCCTAACAATTGAAGTTTATTTGCTGCATCTTGTGCCCACCACAAAAATTGATTTTCCTCTTCTTTCTAGAAGCCTTTAGGCCATTTAAACAACCACTATCATGTTCAATTATACCTTCTCACTTCTGCACTTTATATAATTGCCACAGGGTGTCTCTATTGTGTTTTTTTTAAGACAAGGAGGGCCAAACAGAGATTTCCCAGGTGTTGTTAAATGGCACCTAACATCAGCCCTTGCCAGAAGAGCCAACGGATAGGAATGTTGGAAGCTGCCGTCCAGTAACAGCTAGAGAGGTGCATTTTGCCCACCCTACTGTATGGCATGGGAAAGGATTTAGGTTGGTCAAGATAACTCTGCTTTAATTCTAGGATGTTAACTGCACTATGAAAAGTGAGAGAACTTGCAACAATATAATTAGGGATGCGAAGGAAAATTTTCTGCTCCTGTTTTGCCCACAGTCAAATAATTTCTCATCCTCAGTGATTTTCCAAGCTTGCTATAGCAGCAGTTCACACAAGTACTTCTCCCTGTACCAGTGAGAATCTCAGCTTCCTGTGAAAATGAGAGCTGGGATTTTTCCCCCCCTTTTATGTTTTGTTTTGTTCTGTGGCTGCTCAAGGCCCTTTCTGGGAATCAATTGTTTAAAAAGGTTGCATTTTGCACAGGTATTGTAATAATTCTGTGCACATTGGTGTGTTTTTTTTCCTGAGGAAAAATGACTATGAAACATCTTTTTAAAAACCCAAGCAATCTCTTACTGTGAGGATCTTTTTCTTCAGTTTCTCACTAACAATGTGAGGCTGTAAGTTTCATATCCCTAAGTATACTAAGCTACATTTTAAAAATCCTTTTTGACAGTTCTGTTCCCCAGCTATGTTTATTTGCAAAGGAATTCCACTGATTTGAATAAGGTTTACTTTTGGCAGCATGAAAAGCCCATCAAGATAAACTCTTGACAGCCTACTGATGTAGAGGTAAGTTCATCAGAAGTGTTCCTTCCAGTACTCGTTATTGCCCCTGTACCTTCTGAAAGTCCTGAGAATAAACATGGGATGGAGATTTTTAGTGATTTGACTATTGGGTTATTACAGTAAATAAAAAGTATGGCAATGTAAAAACAGATAGTGTGCACACAAAATCTGCACTCTCTGCTCATTTAATATGTTTTGACATGTTTCTGGCTGCTCGTACAACCCGAATTAGCAATATATGGGAATAGCTTAGATGCAGCCAACATAGGAGCAGAAAATTTTCCTGACATAAACTGCACACAGCTTGGAATTCTACTGATCAGATATACTCTCATTCATCCATATCACCACCCCCCTTTTAGGCACATAGAAGCTTGGAGATGACCTCCCCAACATATGCCGAGCACAACTGCACAGGTTCCACCATACAAGTTTAGTCCAGAGAATCATTCCAATGAAAAAGGTAGCAAAATACAAACAGAGATCTAACTAATACTTGTGAATGCATGGTACACTTTACATATGTAAAAGACTGTGAGCCTTTGTCGAAGGGAAGCTGGGAAAAAGCATGGTAGGTGAATCTTGTCTATGCTCAATGGCAGCAGGAGAATCCAAATATTTGAGAAACAGAGTATGGTAATAATATGAGAATATGCAGAAGACTGAGGCCATCAGACACAAAGGCAGCAAGAACAATGAAAATCAACACATCAAAACAGAAGTCAACATATTACTGGAAGTGGGATTCTTACTGAAGCATTTGATACTGCTTGAAGGTTCACAGAGTTTTTGTACTCACTTATTTCAGTGGCAGTTTTTCATAATCTCTGTGATATCTTTTTTTTTAAATCACAACTATTTCTTTAGGAACTTTAAGAATGTGATGATGTAGCCCTGCCAGACTATTGGTGCTAAGGAGACTGGAGGCTTCAGCGATATGTCTTATTTTAACAAGTAAGTAAGTCAAGATGCTGCTCTAAAGAAATGGGTTTGAAGTACACACTTTAAAGTGCAGGGTTTTTTCTTCCTAATTTGAGGAGTGCTTGTGGATCAGTTTTCTCCAGTTAAAGGACATGAGGTGACAGAGCTCAAAAGATCTCTGTCTGAGATGCTGGTCAAGGAAGACATTACCATGGTTTGACTCAGAAGGCAGCAGCATAATGGGGGTATTACCTAACTTAACATCTCATCCTATTAAAGCAACATCTTCTATCAGTGGAATGGGACACAATAATTCTCCCTTCTCTCTCCAGCTTCTTATATGTATGTGTGTGTAGAACCTCCTGGAACAGACTGAGGATGTAGGGGAGAGGCAAGAAGAGGAAAGCCTCCAGCTTCTTATATGTATGTGTGTGGAGAACCTCCTGGAACAGACTGAGGGGCATGTGGGGATGTAGGGGAGAGGCAAGAAGAGGAAAGCCCTGTTGCATCAGTGGCAGTCTATATATCTGATACTTCATTTCATCCCATGCACAGTACTCATATGAAAATGTGCTTTTTAATATAGGTTACCATTGGCTCCCCCCATCACAGCAAAAATAAAATGTTCTCAATGAAGTATTCTCTTCCTGCATCTGCTAAATGTGTCAGGCCAGTATCCTGTTCAAGATTTACACTTGCAGAATAACCACTGCCATGGAGGTCTGATAAGCTGCTAGTTATGTGAAGTTAGGTGCTGATTGTATGGTCCGGTCACAGGTGAGTACAGCCTGGTGGATCTGCTTATGGTGAAAAAAGAATGGGGGTCACCCCCATCTGTTAGGGCTTATATATTTGTTGGTGCCTCCCAATTCTCTGTGTGCCTCTTCTGTTTATCTATATGAACACTGCCAGGTTTGTTGATCTGGAATATGTCAGCTGACCTGTAACAGATTTATGGGTGCCTGTAGATTTTGGACTAGTTAAATTTAAGACTTGTCTGTCCAGTGTTAGGATTCTCTGTGGAATCCTGTATTATGGGACAAAAATAAATCAATCCACATACTAAATATTAGGCAAAGAAATCAAATTTCATCATCTGATATTGACAAAGCTGATTTTTTTCACAATGGGCACTCAGAGTGGGGCAAGGAGAATTTGGAAAATGAATATGTATTTAACAAGAAGAAATCTAAACAAACAATATTCATAGGGTGTTGTGAGACTAGCTTTTCTATTTCTGTATGTGTGTGGAATGGAAGACAATACAGCTTGTGACATGAGAT